TTAAGTTGTGCCAGGGCAGGTTTAGATCGGCTATTGGGAAGAATTTCTTTACTGAAAGAGTGGTGAGGCTCTGGAATGGCCTGTCCACGGAGGTGGTGGAGTCACCATCCCTGGAAGTGTTCAAAAAACGTGTGGACATGGTATTTCAGGACATGGTTTTGTGGCCATGGAAGTGTTGGGTTGATGGTTGGACTCTGTTATCTTAGAGGTCTTTTCCAACTTTAATGATTCTATGATTCTATGGCTGAAAATTTATCTGGTGCATGACTGAACTGCAACATCTCCTGTCCTGTTGTGGCTGCGTAAATGATGGTAAAGAGGCTGGGGGGCCTTCAATGAAAGGATGCTGTGAAGTGAGCTGACAGCTGGACAAGTTGTTCTGGGGGAAAGCAGTGAGTGTGGCTTGCAGGCTGTGGGTCGGATGCTGTAGGCTAGATAACAGACTGTGTGTGGATTTGGTTTCCTAATCCTGTGCTCGCTGTGGGAGACTGTGTATTGGTAGCCAGCATTTATACCTCTGTTGTCTCAGCTAGAGTTATCCTGGACTGTTGCTTCTTCGTTAGACATAAATTGCTATAGAGACTTCGTTTAATTTTTTTATTTCATACTGGATGTAAATCTGACTCTTTGGGTCAGATGTGGTATGGACAAAGCTATAGGTAGTTCAGGTACACATTTTCTTAACTGCAAAGAAATTAATTACTGTGTTACTGTGTGCCAAGAAAATGTGTTTCCATTTTGAAAAAGCTGCTTTCTGAAAAGTGCTTGGAAAAAGGAACTCTCAGTCAGCTAAAGCTGACTAAGGAAATAACAAAAAGCAAGAGTTTACGGCCACCAAGTATCATCTAGGTTTGGATACATGTGCTGTTATTTCTTACATTGTTTCATATCTATGTGAAATGTATTAACTGTAATGTAATTACAGCATATATATTTATATATATATATGTATTTATATACCTTGTTGTTATACCTTTAGCCCTTTAAATACTGAAAGTTATGCATAAAGTTTACCTGCTTGTACATAACGTGAAAACCTTTTGTGAATGGTATATTCTCAATAACAGAGGTTTTTCTATCTTGTTCTCCAAACACTTTAAAGAGATGGAGGAGCTGGCCGAGCATGGTACTTTCTTGCCTTATAATATGCAAGGACTGACAGATGAGCAAATCGAAGAACTGAAGTTGAAGGATGAGTGGGCAGAAAAGTGTGTACCAAGTGGTGGAAGTGTCTTCAAGAAGGATGAAATTGGGCGAAGAAATGGGCACGGTAAATTAGATGTAGATATTTGTTACTTTCCTTGGGGACACAGATAATCTGTAATATAACAGGGAACTTAAAAACCATAATTCATAATTCATAAATCATAATCCTTTCACTTTTACCTCACTGTCCTGGAAGAAGTAAAAAAGCAAGGAGATGCTAAATATACGTTTGATTTCAGGCCAGCATGTTAGCTGGATTGTGTTTATTTGATAATTACAAAAATCATCCTCTGTATAAACTGTATGAAAGGCAGTCATAGATTTATTAAGTAGTAGCTATTTCAGGAACCTGTTTTCACAACAGATTAGCCAAACTGTCAGTTACACACATAAGTCTTCTCCCTTGGACTAGGACCTGCCATAACGTTGACGTAAAAGCCTAAATAGTAGCGTGTATCTTCAGTGCCTATGCTGTGTAACTTTGCAGCTATAGTACTCTGAAGTACACTACAAAGATAAGTAAACAGTTATCAGAAGCAAGTTTGACTGTTCCACTTGAATTTGTTTTCCCTATTTGTAAATTTATACTTGAGTACTGTTTTTCTCTGGAGGCTCCAAGATAGATTAACAGCTTGTTTTCATAATATTTCTCATGATTTCTTACTCACTGCGACTCAGACTTACTGAACTCAACTCCTGGCACTCTTTCTAAGTCCAGCCAGGTGGTTGTGCCTCAGCACAAGCACCACTCCATAGCTGAGAGCATGAGGAGTGGTTGCACAGAAGAGACTGTGATGGTTTTCTTGCTGTCTGTCCCTGTACTCTTGACACCACGTCAGCCCTTGTGGGGTCAACAGCCTTTTAGATGTTCATTGCAGGGCAACTAAGTTAAGGAGGAGTCTTTGAACAATTTAGTCTTAACTTGTCATACACAAATGGCTTACACCAAGAGTCTTATTTTGGGGAAAATAATTCTAACACAACACATTGCCCAATCAAATTTAAGCCTTTGCTGAACTTGATTAAGAGCTTATATTACAGCAAAATGTTTTCCTTCCTAACTGTGTTCTCGGAAATGTTTAATTTGCTACAATGTCTTGTCTTGTATGTAGGCATGTGGACAAAGCCTGTACAACTTGTAGCTGTACTCTGGCATTTGTTTGTTAGCTGAAGGACAGCTTTGTAACACTAACAAATTTATAATATCGAACAGTGCATAAATGTGGGCCAAACTACATACCATCAAATGATGCATTTAAGTGTTCGGCTGTGAATATGATTTAATGGGATTGTTTGTAGTTGAAGAGGGCTTTTTTTAACAATAAAATAGCTATTATATGAAATGCACATTATATTTGCAAAACTGCATCTGATGTTAGATCAAGATTTTAATTAGAAAAAAGTCAGAAAACTCCAAGCTGTTGTCCCCACTTAAAGCATATCTGCCAGTACAGCATGGGAAAGAGAGTCTCTTGGTTTTGGTTGTGAGGAGTATGAGATTATGGCTGTTGCTTTCTACTCAGTACTTTTGTCCCAGATGAAGTTCCAAATACCAGTCAAATGTCTTCGTGGAAAAATAAGTTTGGGTCTTCCATGAGAAATACTGTTTTGTTTCTTAAGTTAGTAAGAAATATGGCAATGAACTATCAAGCTGGGAGACTGCAATTTAGTAATGTCTGTCTTGCTTTGTGATTTAATGTTTCATTTGCTTACAGTATAGAATAACCTGGACAGGTCATTTGCTTGATTTCTTTATAGTACATGTGGGCTACTAAATACATGTCTCTTATTTTTAGCTCCAAATGAAAAAATGCAGCAAGTTATAAAGAAGACAATAGAGGAAGCCAAGGCATTAATCTCTAGGGTAAGTCAACTGAAGTGGCATGTGGTATTTGGGACGTTCTGAATAGGTGCTATATAATTGGGCAGCTTAAGAAAAAATCAACTTTTTTCCAGACAATTTTTGAGTAATATCATGAAGCAATGTGTATAGTCTATTAAAAACTGACATTTTTGTTAATGATTTCCTCATGGCTTTTGGCAAGCTAGTTCAACAAGTTAAGGAATCAGATACTAAACTCCAAGTGAATGCTGGCAGCTGATACCACACTGAATGATTAAGTCACATTTAATTTTATTCATATGATCTTAATTTGCTATTGATGCATTCTTTAGGTGAATGTTTGTCATGTTTTCTGGTGAAAAATTAACTGTGTTCTGTGATGTTCTTGGAGTAAAATAACTTTTGCTCGTTAACATGGTCTTCTGAGTTTTATGTATAATTAATTGAAAAACATGTTCTAATCTCTTAGATTAGGCCTTTGTTTTACAAGCTCTTGGACTCATGCTCAGTCCCAATGAGTTTGTGTACTTGGAGATACGTATGAGGGTATGCCCTGATGGGACTATGGTCTCAATTATTCAGCTTCACTTTACCAAATCTTTAGGTGCTTTGTATTGTGTGTTAGCTTTCTTATGACTTTGAAACACAAATTAAGTAGTATTTATAATCTGATTTCTTTTTTGTAAACATCTGCAAGTCATTTTCTTCTCTGCACCCTTGCAGTTTTGGGAACTAGTATGTGTGGAACTTTAAAACAACTTTAAACCAGTTATGCCAGTAGGTAATATTATTGATTTTGTGGTGTTGCCTGTGCACTTAAGTTGTCCTTCTTGGCTGTTTCATTGCTGGTCAGTGGGGTGAGCAGCTCAGTGATTCCAGAGGCGCGTGGAGGCGAGCGGAGGAGCTGCCCCGTCACTGGGCAGCACAGCAGCCCAGCTGTTCTGAGTCACAGCAAAATCATGCAAAATGAGAGATGTTGCAGATTAAAACTGCTAGACTAAAAAGATTTTTTCCAGATGGACTTTTTTTTTCCCCATTGGACCACATCTCATCAGCTCTTTTTCTAAATCCTGAGGAAATAAATGATCTGTAGTCAAAAATACCTGCAGATCTGGTCTCTACTTTGCAGGTCTGCCAGGGTGAAACTTTGAACTATATACCATATTGTCATTTACAATAAAAAGTTCCAAATTGCCACAGTGCATGCTGACTTGCTCTCGAAATTACTGCCGTACATTGTTGAACAAAGTTAAGGATATTTTGGGAGGTAGTTTGTTAGGTTCATCACTTTATAATTAGGAAAATGAAGAAATATGTGTGTGCATTTAAAAAAAAAAAAATTGTCATCCTGAGACTGAGAAAGCAGTTGTACTTGCCAGTTAACTTGTTTAAGACTGTCCACAAGGAGGCAGCATTCTCTCTTTTTTATAAGCCTTGTAACTTAAAATATTAGAACTGTTAAATCCATAAGCACAAAACTTCTTCTTCCCTTCCAGATGCATCTTGTTATTTGTCTATCCATTGCGGTAGGGTTTGGAATGATCTCAAGTATTTGATCTTGCAGATCTCTGCATAAGCTGTGCAATATGCCAAGCTTTACTCTTCTGCTCACATGTGCTCTATTTTTTTCCTCAAGTTTTAGGCCCCTTCTCAAGCCCTCGCTTGGATTCTACTGTTTTGAGTCTTCTTTGTGAATCACAAGTACTTGGAACAAAAGACTCCCCATCCAGTTTCTGTGGTTATAGGTGGTTCAGGTGTACCTGTTGAATGTCTGTGTTCCACAGATCTTTGTTACTAAATGCCTCCTGCGCAATTTAGTGACATATCTTTTGGTTTTTTTTTTGTTTTTCCCTCCCCTGCCCCATTCCCCAGTGTAAGCAAGCAAAATGGAGGGGATGAAAGCGTAGTGGTACATTCAGAAACCAATATTCAAACAGGAAAATCTGTGCTTCTGGTGTCTTTGTGCAGCCACTTGGCCTGGCTTAGATATCCCATTGTTGAATCTTTGAACTGAGGACAAAGCAAAATCTGTCTCTGTTTTTTTTTTTTTTTTAAATTGCCACTCGTCCCTGCCTGTATTTCAGAAACAAGTTCAGGCCAACGTGTGCGTCACTATGGAGATGGTGAAAGATGCACTGGACCAGCTCCGGGGGGCTGTGATGATTGTGTATCCAATGGGATTGCCTCCGCATGACCCAATCACAATGGAGTTTGAAGATAAAGAAGAATTGTCAGGGACCCATGTATGCAGTAATGTATTTGGATTATTTGTACTGCCAGGGTTGAATATGTGCTGTTCTCTTCTCCATTTTATCAATGAAGTTTGTTTTCATTTGCATGACGGATTTTGTTTAATATTTTTGTCTGATAGTTTATATAAGAGCATACCAGTAGCTTAGCTAGAAGTTAGATGAGTTTATTTCCAATGTTACATACAAAATTCAGGTAAGTCTGGGACTCATTTTAAATAGTTTGTCATTTTTATCTAATGCCAGTATTGCACATGTATTGCCCAAAATGTTTATGTTAGGTTAAGATTGAATGAAATATGAATGAAAATGCTGCAGATTAGTATAAGGAGAAAAATATAGCAAAAGTATAGTGTAAAATGACACTGGTCTTTCTGTTAGGAATTCCAGAAATATCTTTCCAGAAAATTTTTCTGTTTTAAAAACCAAAACAAAACGGGGGGGAGGGAAACGAGCCACAACAACAACAACAACAACAACAACAACAACAAAAAACCAAAAACAACACCATACCAAACAAAACCGAAACCCTAAACTAACACCCTCCAACACTTCACCTTGTTTGTTGATCTGCCACAGGCTGGACTTGAAGTTATAGCGGAATCAGAAGCACAATTATGGTGGGCAGGAAAGGAGTTGAATAAAACAAAGTTGCTCTCTGACTATGTAGGCAAAAATGAGAAAACGACCATCATTGTCAAGATACAGAAAGTAAGTGTTGCTTGGAGATTTCTTTACGAGTTTTTCACCTTTGATTGTCTCAGTCTTTGTGGAAGAGAATTGTCCCTAAGTTTATAGAATGGATTAGAGTAGTTCTGGCCTGAGTGTCTCGAAACTGCACCTATTTTAAGGTTTGTAACTTTCTAAGTTTTTCTTTAGTAATTCCTTTGCCTGTCAGTTAAATACTTTAGTTGCTATTACTTGCTCCATAGCACTTTTCTAAAGTACAAGAACGAAGTATTTAAAAATAGATGAAATGCAAACTGAAAAGTTTAAAAAAACCTCAGCGGGCTCTCAGTTCCGTCTTGGTGCAAAGCACTGAGCAGACCCAGTCATGCAGTCTGCCCAGTTTTCTCATGGTACTTGCGAATGTTCTTCTGTCCATATTCTGGCCTTTAAAAAACAGTCTTAATGTTTTGTGTTTATGTGGAGTGGATGCCTCTCATCCCCATTTCAGTCTGTTCTGTGTCTGAAAGACAGTGTCTTTAACTTAGTAATTTTCTGCCTGTCATGCCCTTAGTTTCTTGATGGCATGTCCCCAAACTGTCTCAATCACCTTGGAAATGTAGACACACATCTTCTTTGAGATGATGGAGGTTATGGGAGAGCTCTTCCAAAGTGTTTGATGAGAACTTGCTGTGTGCTAGAAGGCAGAACAAGCTGCTGGGCCTGTGTCACCCAGTCATGTTGTCTGCAGCAGCTCACCCAAAGTTGCCAGCTGAATGTTTTTTAAGAAATAAGACTTGCCGTTGTCAGAGTTGTCAGATGAGGTGAAACAGATGAGGCCTTCTGTATTAATTGTGACCGCAGATCTGAGTCATCCTCTGGAGTAATGAGCTAAAATGAAGCAAAGATCTCCTGTTCTTCCTCAGTTTATAGACCTGATGCTTCAGCAGAAGCCAGTCATTAAGTGTATACTGGTGTCTGATGCAATGGCCATGCTCTTGCAATATCAGAATTAGCACCAAGCTACTGGGACTGTTCATTATTTTTTGGACAAAATGACTTCGTACAAACTGTGCAGTTGTTTTTGTCTTCAGTGAGAATGCCGTACTCAAGGGAAGAATGTTTGGGGTTTCAATTCATTTTCAGAGCTTTGTCAGAAGGTGCTTGCCATGTTCATGTGTTTATATATCTCTCTGTATAAAATCACATTCAGAGGGTTCTTTTGTCAATGTCAGATATTTCAGAGTACTTACCCTTAGCTCAGAATTATTCTGGAGCTGCGTTTCAGTTTCCTGTCAGTGAGAGCTTCTCTGCCACAGAAAGCATTAATGTTTTTGGCAGATCTTATAATCTGCAGGTGTCTGTAATAGAATTCATCAAAGATAAGTCAAGTGATTTATCTGTTTGTCATTTAGAAGACCAGAATTGTTTTCTTCTTCATATCAGGGTGACTGAAAAATTGTGTGACAACTCAACATTCACTGAAGTACAGGCTCCCAGGAACATTGTCCTTACCGTTTAATTAGTTGAGGGAACTCTTCAGAGAATGCAAAGTATTATGGTGATTTTCTATCTGACAAGAGATCCCTGCATTCTTGAGTTAGAGAGCTAAATTAAACCACCTCAGACCCTCTTTGTTCCAGAGAGGATTCACCATCTCCATTCAAACTATCTGTTTGCTATTGTTGACAGTAGCTGTCATCAGCTATTTTCTACTGTGTGCATCATTTCTTCCATGAGGACAATTGCCTGGAAAAAAAAATAAATTTCTTTTATTTGTAGTAACAAATAAAACTTCTTTTATTTATAGTGTTTTGTAACTGCCATTCTTCCTGGCATACGACTTTATGAAATTATATGCCATCTTGAGTCTGTATTAGCAGGGGAGCTGGAGATGGATGGGCCCATCCTGAGACATCTAGAGTGATCTTAAACCAGAGAGATTTATTATGTCTTTTAGAGCAGAAGTTTAAGTAAAATAGACTCAATCCTGTTTGCAGCTTCCATTGATATTCACAAAATTGATAGCATGATTCAGATGCTGAGATGAAAAAACAATTCTCACTTGAATGCAGCAGAAGTTCCTCAACATCTATTTTCCTGTCCTGAGGGACCTTATTAAATTTGAGAAATCCTATTTTCTGAAGGAAGATTTTGCTATCTTTGCAGAGCAGCTTCTCTTTTGTATTGCAAATGCCGTCATAAATAAAATTTACGATTTCCCTTTCAGAAAGGACAAGGAGCTCCAGGGCGTGAACCTCTGATTAGTCACGAAGAGCAAAAACAGATGATGCTGTATTACTACAAAAGGCAGGAGGAACTTAAGGTAACAGGGTCTTCTGACTGTAAGTGAGCTGTGCACTAACCACGGGTCACGTTTGTTGCTGCCTTCTTAACCTGTCCCTTCTGTTTACAGAAACTGGAAGAGGATGACGACGACTCATTCCTGAACGCTGAGTGGGCAGACAACCATGCCTTGAAAAGGCAATTTCATGGTGTGAAGGACATCAGATGGGGGCCAAGATGAAGCTCTGCAAACACCATTTTGCCTCTCAAAGCTGTTTGGTTGATACGCTTGTTTGCAACGAGAAGTTGTGTTGTGTGCAGTAGAGTCCTCTGATGGAAGCTGAAATTGTCACTTCCGTAGCAAATGCCTGTTTCAGCCTTAGGTTTTCAATAAACGTTTACATTTCTGTGTAGCTGTAGCAGCACTTGTCTCTACAAACAGAGGAATCAATCCTGTTGAAGTTCATTTTATTAGAAACTTGTAATTTGAATACTGAAATATTAACCCATTTCATAGATAATATATCTAGTACATATGCAGTAGAATGTTTGGTCATGTTTTGAGTGGTCTTTACACTTTCTTCCTGATTCTTGCACTTCTTTTAGATGGTGTTTTCTGTAGAAAGTAGTTTATTTTATAAGAAATCAGTTTTCCCAGGCTAATCCAATAAAAGTTAGTGATGTTTATATGCTTGTTTGCATTTCAACATAGCTAACTACAAACTATAATTTTTAAATGAGTTGACCTCTTAACAGTTGTTTAAATGAAGTATTTTTAGATAAACCCAAATAAAAAAAATCCTTGTGGGATGCTTAATTTTCATTCTTCTGGTTTACTTTTCATTGACTTTGGAAGCCAGCCTATTGACCTCGTTCAGTTTAACAAGCTGACAGCCATGATGCTTTCACATAAAGATTGACAGAAATCTGTATACAAAAATAAGCATCATTTGCAATTAGATTGGATACAATAAACCCAAGTTTATTAGAGCAAGATCTCTAATAAGGAAGTGTTTCTAAGGTTATGAATAGATTAGAAGTATTTAGTTTCTAACAAATCTGCATTTGAAAATGAAAAATCATTAAATTTATTGGAGAATGTTTCCATTATAGGCTTGATGTTTAGGATCCTGTTACCTTTTCTAAGATGTATCTTCAGTCAGTTCTGGGTGCAGGATTAACAAAGGAAATGCTAGCAGATTTGAAGCAAATGTGTCTGGTTTTGAAGGGAGGATTCTGATTTAGGGTAGCATGTGACTAATGGATAATTATCTCTTTAGAATTATCTGTGTAGATAATTAGAAACAAGCTGCTCGAGTTTTACATGTTTAGACTTCTGTGTCCTTAAAGGAGATGCTTTTCTATGGAGGCAGATTTGCATCCTCGCCAGGTCGCTGAGCAGTGGAAAGCCAGGGTGCCCTGAAAATTCCACGTGAGGATCAACTGAGTGTTTAAAAAGAGGTGAACTGCTGTGGGCACTTGGCCAACAACCAGAATGATCCTTGGTGGTCTTTGTTCACACCCCAGAGCAGTTGCAGGCAGGTGTGAGCTAGGGCAGCTGTGAGCTCTCACCTGCTCAGTTCTGCAGCATGGAAAGGCAAAGCAGCTAAGGACATGGGATTCGTAGTCTGCAATCAGCTTAAGCACACGAAGCTGCCCCTGCACACATCTGCTTCCTTCCCACCTGAGCCAAAACAGATCCCGTTCACAAACTATGTCAGTCTCAAGAACAGGCAGTTGCTCATCAACACGTAGTTTTAACTCAAATTTTGATGTGAAATATTTTTTGCAGGTGCCATACTATGGCACTGGGGTGCTAGGGCTGCTCAGCAGCTCTGGAAGTCTGATGGGTTACGTTTGCTCTCTGAAGTTACACACACGTTTGATGTTATTCATAGATAGTTTTTTTTCCTTATTCATGCCCTAATCCTCATGTCAGGAGGGTTTAGCAGCAGCGACACTTGAAAAGACAAACGTCTGGGAGATTATCAGCCAGAAGCTTCTTGCCTTGCCAAACCTGCCGGTGCAACAAGATGAAAGTAAATTCTATGGTCGTTGACCGTCCCCTAAAAATACCTGGCTGTGGCTCTCCAGATTCACAAATCTCAATACTTCTAGCTTAAATCTCTCTGCTTGAGTCACTGTAAAATAACAAAGAGAAAGTGTTTTGCTAGTCATTTTTTGACAATGAAAAAATCGTCACTTTCTATAAATGTGGTTGAAAGTTAAACTGAAGTGTTTGTTGAACTTGCAGCTGGAAGATTGAATACAGAAAACAATGCCTTTCAGTGAACCATTAATGGTGCTTTTACTTCCATCACTGATTCTTATAAGAAAGTTTGGAGTCTGGTAGTTCTACTTGAATATCAACTTTATACTAACATGTTTTTTTTTTAAAAAAATATGTGGGATTTTTCTAAGTTGTAAAATTTTAAATATTTTATATTTTAAAAGTACTTGGAATTATTTATGTGGCAAGAAAATAGAGCACATTTTAAAAGAACACTGTTCTACCACTTCACCAGTAGAAAATCAATGCCCTGTACAGCTCTTCAGAGATTTTCAATGATTCACAGAGCTGAAAGCTTTTTTCCTAATGTGCTCCTTTCCTGTCACCAAAGGGTGGAGTGAAGAAAATCTGAAAATAATTAATTCCTTAATATCACTGGCATGTCAGCCTGCAGTGGTGTAGTGAATGCTCTTGAACCACAACTGGGATTCAGAGCACTCAGTGAAAAAAAAAAATTATAAAAGTGATTGATTTATTACCAGTTGTTAGTCACCCAGCTGCAGCACCTGATCAGTCCTAACAGTTTGTAAGAGGCCTGGGTTGCTAGAGATGTTTCCATGGCTTTCAAGGGCACTTCTTTAAGGGTAAGTACTGGGAACATATTCATCAATGACCTGGAAGAAGCATGGAGCTTGCCCTCCTGGAGTTTGCTGATGACACAAAATGGGGAGGAGCATCTGACACAGCAGAAGGCTGTGCTGCCATCCAGTGAGACCTGGGCAGGCAGAGAGTGGAGTGGAGAGGAACGTGATAAAGGTCAACAAGGGCAAACATAAAGTCCTGCACCTGGGAAGGAATAACCCCGTGCACCAGCACAGATTAGGGGTTGACCTGCTGGGAAAGCAGCTCTGCAGAGAAGGACCTGGTGGGCAGCAAGTTAATTTTGAGCCAGAAATACAATCCTGTGGCCAAAATGCATTAAGAAGAATGCAGGCAGCAGCTCAAGGTTCTCCTCCCTCTCTATTCTGTCCTAGTGAGCCCACATCTGAAGCACTGTGCCCCCATTTCTGGGCTCCCCAGTTCAAACGAGACAGCCAACTACTGGAGAGAGTCTAACAGAGAAGTCTCCTTTTCTGAAGACTTTCAAAACCTGCCTGGATGTGTTCTTGTGCAACCTGCTCCAGGTGAACCTGCTTTAGAAGAGGGGTTGGACTAGATGTTCTCCAGAAGTCCCTTCCAACCCTCTGACTGTGTGATTCTCTGATTCTACAGATATAAAACCTCTCCCCTGCAGTGCTCTCCGTATGGCCAATTATAAATATGCTTCCAAAAAAATCAAATTACTATTTATAATTTAATGACTTAGGGTTTTTTGCTCATTTGTTCTCCCTTTTCCAGCAAAGTTCTAAAATATTTACATCCTTTTGGCAGACAGAAAAAATATAGCCCTGTTTATAAGCCTTTAAAGCAGGCTGTGTGGCAGCCTGGCACATTTAGTATCCAGAGGGAGTTATAACCTGGCAGCTCCCAAACTGAACTCCAGGGATTCCTTTGTTTCCTCTGCTTCTTGTGGCAACACTTCCCCTCCCCAAAATCTCATCTTTTCTATTTAACAAGGCAGCTGAGGACAGCCGGCCCTGCCATGTGGACTTTGTCCTGCTGACCTGGGAGGGAGATTCCTGAAGGACAGCTACCCGAGCTGGAGATGCGCTCTGAGATCAGGGGTTGCGGTGTGACCTTACCTGGCAGCACTTGTTTACTGGTAAAATTTACGCACCCTGGAACAATTTCTTAGTGGGAGTACTTATGTTCCTGCTCCTCACTGCTTGAAAGCAGGTTTTTCATTTACTTTGTCATAACTGCATTGAGCTCGGTGGCCTTCGCAGGAAGCTTCCCAGATGTTTTGGATAGGTTGTAACGAATGCTTGAAAATATCCAACTGAATCCCTCTTACAAACACAGCTTTCCTCTCAAATTAGTATTATTCAGAGGAGCTTGTTCTGTGGGCTCCCAGTCCTACAAATAACTGAAGTCATCACTGGCTTTTGGCCATTTGATTTAACATCTTCAATAGCAGGAAAATGTTCGGTGGCAGAAGAGGCAAAATGAAGATGACATAAGCAGTAAAGTACCTATACTCCCCAGATCTCGCTTGTTAAACCCTGCTGCACATCCACGACCACAAGTAACTGGTTTTCCCTGACAAAACCCTGACACATTGCTGGTACCTTCCTCCCAGCAGAGCTCTGTGCAGCTGGTGTATGTGTCAAAGGAACACAAAGTTTTATTACCTTTCCAAGACTTGTTGAGAGTTAGTGTTTCAGTGAAAAAGAGACTTTTGAATTACCATTGTACAGAGAATTCTGAGGCGGGTGTTTGGACACTAGCTTTGATTATGATGCTTATCATATTGTCATTTCATCTCTAAAAGTGAGGGAAAACAGGCATAGGAAATAACACAGAAGAAACTCCATTTTGTTCTGTATACCTTTGGCTGCTGTCCTCTACTGCAATTGGCCCTGTTTTCTTCTTTAGCTGAGAAAATTGCCCATAGGATCAATGGCCTTCTGAGTTCTCATGACAGCACCTGTGGATCTGCTGGATTCATTTATTATGGCTGAAATTGATTTAACTTACTGGAAGAAGATGAAAGAGTACAGGAACAAAGCAAAGCCTATGGATATTAAAATATCTAAAGAATTTGAGAATTATGAGATAGGAACACCACACGTAGGTTTGTAAATTTGCAAAAGCGTTTTATCTTTCTTCTAAACGGTTTATTTCTGGATGTTTGATAGGAGACGTGCCCTTCCAGAAGGAAAATCCATTCTCTATCAAAAGAACACGCACAATGGAATGTTGCTAAAATGTTTGTTTTGTGACCATATCACTACTCTGATTAATGGAAATTTATATTATGTGTTATGAAAGTTGCTAATGCCATTTCAGCCCTTAACGTGCTATTGAGATCTCCTTGGACGGAAGATTGAGAGGAAGCAAGGCATGGGCTC